CTCCTCCTCCTCCTCCTCCTCCTCCCTCTCCCACTACTCCTCCTCCCCTTCCTCCTCCTCCTCCTCCTCCTGTACCCATCCTGGGACTTGAACTCAGTGGTGCTCTACTATTTGAGCCATAGCTCCCCTCCCAAATATTTGATGGCTAACTGCAGAGAAGAGTCTCAAGCCCAAGCTGGCTCTGAACCTCAATCCTCAGATATTAGCCTCCGGGTTGCTAAGATTACAAGTGTGAGCCACCAGTGCCTGAGTTGTATACTTTAAATGAGTGAATTTTATATGAATTAGAGCCCAATAGGGCTGTTAAAATCAAGAGGAAAATATTTCAACTAAGAAATACTTACACAGGCTGGGTGCTGGTGGCTCATGTCTATAATACTAGGTACTCAGGAGGCTGAGATTTGAGGATTGTGGTTCAAAGCCAGGCCAGACACAAAAGTCCCTGAGACTCTTATCTCCAATTAACCACAAGAAAACAGAAAGTGGAGCTGTGGCTCAAAGTGGTAGAGTGCTAGCCTTGAGCAAAAGAGCTCAGGGACAACACTCAGGCCCTGAGTTCAAGCTCACAACTAGAAAAAAAATATTTCTACATATTTAAGACCTGAGATGCTGGCTTTTTGTGTATGTGTGTGTGCCTGCCATTCCTGGGGCTTGAAGTCAGGGCCTGGGCACTGTCCCTGAGATTCTGTTTGCTCAAGGCTAGAAAGTACTCTACCACTGAGCCACAGCTCCACTGGCTTTTTCTGAGTAGTTTGTTAGTTGTAAGAGTCTCATGGACATAACTGCTTTGCCTGGCTTTGAATTTCAATCTTCAAATCTCAACCTCCAAGGTAGCTAGGATCACAGGTGTGAGCCACCAGAGCCGGGCTTTTTTTGTTATTGTGGATTTAATTTTTTTTTAATTTGTTTGAGATTAAAACCAGGTTAAGGGGCTGGGAGTGGCTCAGTGGTAGAATGCTTGCCTTGCATGCATGAGACTCTGGGTTCAATTCCTCATCACCACATAAGCAGAAAAAGCCAGAAGTGGCGCTGTGGCTCAAGTGGTGGAGTGCTAGCCTTGAGCTGAAGAGCTGAGGGACAGCGCCCCATGACCAGCAAAACAACAACAAAAGCAGGTTAAACTATTTTTAACAGATTTTCTGATGAGGGTGTGGGAGGAATGGACAAGTTCTAGGATGGTATATGATGGTGTATGCAGGATGTTGGGAGTGTTGGCTCAGAGAGGGGGGCATACTGACCCAGAGCATCACTCTGTGTTAGGTGTGGTTTAAAACCTCTGGTCTGGACCATTTCCTGAAGCCCTCAGATGACCCTTACTGGCCTTGGGTCACTCAGCTCCCAAGGGTTCAGCTGGGACTTGAACTGTGCTCTACCAACTGAACCACACCTCCAGCCTTTTTTGCTTTAGTTTTTTTTTAAAGGTAGGGTCTCATGCTTTTTGGCCAAACTGCTTTTGGTCTATGAACTTCTTATTTATACCTTCCATGTAGCTGAGATTACAAGGCAGGACCACAATACTCAGCCTTGAGACTTAAACTCTTGACTCTAGAATTTTCTTCCTCATAGCTACCAGCTCTGTATCCACAGGCATCAAAGCAAGAATGAAAAAAGGAAGTATGACTCTGTACTCTCTCAAGGAAAGGAAACCTTTTGCTTTTTCAGGTCCTGAGATCTCTCTGGATATATACTGACTTACTGACCAGAGAAGTAGACATGGGGGTTTCAGAACTATGGCAGACAGCAAGGCAGCCATGGGCCAGCTACCAGACCCTTCCACAGGACACCAGGCAGCCAGCACTTCCCAGTGCTCAATTTAGAGCAGTAACTTCTGCATTCTTGTAAGGCTGGGCCAGCAGAAGAGGCCAACCCTACCACCAACCAGAGATTTGTAACAACTATGGTAAAGGGTGCACTGGGGAGGGAAGTCAGTGAGGGAGAGTGGACTGGTCTATCTGATAAAGCACACATGGGCATTGATCCATCATTTAACTTTTTTGAAGTGGGGGGGTGGTGGTACTGAGCGTTGAACTCAGAACTTCATGCTTTCTAGGCAGGTGTTTTACCACTTAAGGTATGCCTCATCATTTCAAACTAAGACTTCATCCCAAAATAAATGACAGGTAGAATAGGCACAGGGTCAGACAAGTATGTGAGGAAGCAGGCAAGGGGTGATATGAGGGCAGAATGGTGCTTGGGTATAGTTCTAAAATCCTTTGCAGGGGGCGGCGGGGGGGGGAGCTAGAGGCTTGGCTCAAGTAGTAGAGCAAGTTTGAGTTCCAGTCTTAGACAAAAATGTCCTTTTCCTTCTGCTGTGTGCCAGGAAGGAATAAAAATGCCAGAGGAGCTTCTCACAGTCTGGCTGCCACAGAATTGACCTCTTCTGCCTCTTCCTGAGCAGGAGGTCCCTGCCTAGGGTGGGCTCAGACCTGTTGATACTAAACTGGTACAGGTCTGGGAACGGAGGTCTCTGCTATGCATAAGGGGTATGACAGGCCAAGGCCTCCTATGAATCGGTGGCCACTAGTGAACCTGGGTTGAGGGGCTGGCAGGGCCTTTTGCTGGGAGATATTGGGGGCCCTTGTCACTCCCTGCCTGGGACCTGTGTTCCCCACTTGCAGTTCTACACTAGCTTCCTGGCAGGGGAGACTAGAAGAGATATCTACAGAAGGAAACTACCACCATAAACTACCCCTAAGTGTGTCTTAGGGACAGCAGTGTGGATAGCCTAGCAGGAGAAGAGTGGCATAATGAGATGTCCCAACTCAGTTCACACTAAGTCTGTCAACAGCCACATCCTGTGCTCTGCAGCTGGGTTCCGCTGTGGTGGGTGTTTGTGTCTTCAGACAGCAACTACAGGCTTTGGCACACTTCGCAGTGTGCACCAGCCACAACCCAGGCAGCCCCAAATCTTCAAGGACAGACTTCCGGCTTCTGTCACTGAGCCTCCACAGCATGGGGTGGGGGCAAGAATGATGTCATTTACCCACATTCAAAGAAAGGGAAACAGCCCCCTGTCACACTGCTCTGTAAGAAACCAGGATGCAGGGGCAAATGAAATACTTAAATAAAAACAATTCAGGTCCAGCAAAATGGGCAGCAGCCCCAAAGCTGTGCCTGGGCAAAGTGGGCAGAGAAGGCTGGGTTTTAGTAGAGGTGGGGGGGGGCAGTCTCTAGGAGACCCACAATAGAGGACTTCAAATGTAGTCCTGACTCCAAACACAGCATCAGACTACACATTTCCTAGCCAGCTAACCAGGGGCCCTCACAAGGCAGAGCCCCTGCTCCTCGCTATGTTGTAGGAATAGTTCTTCCTTTAAAATTGAAATGAAAACTGGAAGAGAGCAAGGGAAAGGGTGACATTGTCCAAAAAGAGACATATTCTTTACCTGACTTACATAACTGTAACCCTTCTGGACATCACTTTTATAATAACAATGATTTTTAAAAAAGAACTTAAAGAAAG